TTATCGTTCACACTATCGATGTTATTCCTATAATTTTTTGTAAAACAGCTATATTTCCTTGAAATACAAATGGTTTGTTTCGTTTTATTCCAGTACGAAGTATCGTATTCCAAACTCACATCTTGTAAAAGTATAGACTTGTCTCAAAAACGGAAATTGTTTGAAATCATCAGGTGTTTAATTTTATAGTGTTTTTAGTTTTTGTTTCTATTCATACGTTCGTCCTATTATTACCATGCTGACTCGTTTTATGACAGTTCACCTTTGATGCAAGTGAGTATACGAAATATCATATAGTTGAACTGCGGAGAAAGATATGAAGACATGATTGGGAGGGACGCCAAGCTAACGACTGGCGAAAGTTTAACGAAAAGAGAATTAAACAGGCCAAAACAGGCCTATTTATACAAAACCTGTGTGAAACAGAACACCCAGGAGACTACGAGCGCGCGGGGGTTTTTATCCTTGAATCCCGGAGAGATTTGGGGCGTTTGTACGAGATGGCCCCAGTGAGAATAGCAATAAATTCCCACTGGGAGCCCTCACTCCCAAACGCCCCAGGTAAGGATAAGATATGGGAAGAAGCGAGCCCTACGGCTGCTACTCCCGAAAGCTAGGCAGGGCGGTAGGGTCCCAGTCGAAATACACAGATGACCGTAACTCTCCCCATAACTCAAAAAGCTTTATTGCAAACTTTACAACCTTCAAGATATGAAGCCACAAAACAGTGAAAGGCAAAACCAATACAAACTATGGAAAAACCGGACTGAAATTCTTCAGTTCATTTACATCCCGGTAAAAGGAAATAGCATCCTGAGTAGCGGAGGAAGAAGCCTGGGATGAAGCGGTACATGACAAAACTTCAGCTGTGTAACCGGGTTTTACAATCTGCTCTAAGTCATTATAATGATCTACCATGCTAGCAGAGCACCAACCTATGTGCTTAGCAATATCAGACTTAGAAACTCCCAGCAATTCCAGAGTAATAGAACATCCGGCGCGAAGGCTGTGGGGAGTTTCGCCACCGTCTAAGCCAGCATCCTTAAGATACTGTTTAAAACGATTATAAACTGAAGAACCAATGAAAGGTTTATCAGAAATGTGGCCAGCTTTGCTGGTAGCGCGGAATAAATAGCCTTGAGAAATATCTACACTAATCAAACGACAGATATTTAGATACAACATAAAATTACGCACTGGACAAATATCAGAATTACTAGAACTCCTTACAGAAAAAGGGTGTGTAGAATTTCCCCTTAACGTCTTACCAAAAGTATGGTTAAAGAGTAACCCGGAGGAGCTGGGAAAAAGAAGCACTTCTTCAGACTTGGTTCTTCCTAGGTCCGATGAACGGTTTCCAGAGAAAAAATCAATGCAAAAGAAACTAAGATCCCTACTGAGGATATACAAAAGCGAAGGCGAAGTGTAGGGCTTTCTAAGTTTAGACAGGATTGAACGCGCTATAGCCAAAAATTTATTTGTAAAAAGGAGAACGGCCTTACGAGGCTGTACTCGAGCCTGGGCTTGCTCTTCTCGTACACACTTCAAATAAGCTTTAATAGAGGGATGGGAGACGGGATTTCCAATACCTAATCGGTCGTCCCATTTCCCTCCCAAACCCTCCTCAACAAAAATGGACCTGAATTTCCCAATTAAGCTGTCCACAGTTCCAGCAGCCAACCTGGTTGGACATGAACAGGAGACGCGCTGGCGTTGGCCCAGGCCTAGACAATCCAAAAGGTGAACAACGGTCTTTCCTGAGTTATCCTTCCACACCAGAAACTTCTTAATGTCTGATGGAGAAGCGGAAGGAAGAGCTTTTGGAACCGGGAGAGAAGAAAGAAAATTTACAAGTTCCTTGTAAAGAGAGGACTTCTGACGTTCATAACTCTTGTTCGACTTAATTTGCTTCAACCAGATGTTTCAAACGATCATTGATTGCTTGAAAGTTGATCTTTAACCGCTTAGAAGGATGTTGGGAAACTGAACAAAACTGGCGGAAACCGCACTTCTGACAAAAGTTGAAATCGGCATCATTAAGGTAGCCACAATCAAGGCAAGGAGCTGCCGGCTTCCAGATTCTAGGTCGCTGAATCTAAAGGAAGGACAGACGGAAGCGAGTTGGTAATCCTGAAAGCATACAAATCCCAAGGTAAAGGACGTGTGGAAAAAACGTGGTGCGGAAATGGAAATAACACGATATCGGGATCAGCTTTATGGCCCAGGACAACAAAATGAGATGCCCTTGCTTGAATAAGAGGCCACCAATATGGAAGAGGAGACAGTTTTGGAACCACAATAGTGAACGAGAACAAAGCCTTGTCGAGGAAACGGAGAAGAGGACCAACTAAGATGAATGGCGGAAAAACATATGCGTTTTCTTGGCTGGCCACATCTTGAGCAAATACATTGACCCCGCGAGAGGCCGGTGTTGGAAAAGGCGGGGGCAAGCATGCAATCTTTATCAGACAAAACGCTAGAGAGAGGATCAGCCTGGTTGAGAGGAGAGGGCAAGAATTGCAAACAAAGGGAAATATTCTGGGCGAGAAGAGTTTGGAACAATTCCTTGAGGGCATCATTCAGCTGTTTACTCTTGCCCCCCTGTCTTTCCCAGGCTTGGACGAGCGCTAGGCAGTCCACGTGATCGTCCACGCGACAATTTGAAAGAACCGACTTTCCAGCTTTTAAAGTACTGACGAGTGCGAGGGCTTCCTTAACTGCAATAGGTTTGTCTCTGACGTCTTCTCTCCAAATATCTCGAGTCTCTAAGGGCGGTCCGGAGGGATTGTAAGCTATGCCACCCCACGAGTATTGGGATGCGTCGCTGGTTACATTCACTACTAAATGACGCTCATCCATCCAGGGGAGATGCTCGGACCAAGAATCTAAAAACCGCCAATGATTTATCTCGGAACGAAGGTCACCAACAACTTTGATGAGCCGAGAGGAACGATTTGCCAGAGAAATAGCGCGGTAAACTTCTCTCGCGTATAACTGAGCAGCTGGGACAGCTAAGGAAAAAGAGGTAATCTTGCCTGCGAATCGCTGAAGCGTCTTGATAGACACTACTCGGTACTGGAGAATGGAGTCACGAAGGGTGGCAAACTTGATTCTCTTATCTTGTGGAATAAGGAAAGCTTGAAGGATGGAATCAGACAGAAAACCCAAAAACCTGATTCTAGTCTGGGGAACAGGAACGGATTTGGAGAGGCCAATGAAGTATCCAAGACGAACTAAAACTGAACACACAATAAAAGCAGCAGCCTCGGCAAGCTGAAAATTGGCCGACATGGCGGTCGTCAATATATTGACTGTAGGGGACACCGAGAGAGCGGATATGACATGTTGCCGCCAAACCGACCGTATGATAGACGTAGGCGCTGGCCTTCCAACCAAAGGGTAAGGTCTTATAACAAAAATACCAGCCTTTCCACTCTAAACCCACAAAAGTAAAACTGTCAGGCGACAACTTGACGTGGTCATAGCCACTTTTATCGTCGAAAGTAATTTGGAAATGAGACTTAAACACATAGCGAGGTAAGCCAGAAATGTAATCCAGCGAAAGCGGAAGATCTTTAATCCATAAGTTCAAAAAAAGTTCATCGTGGCACATTCTAGGCTTAGTGGGCTCCATCGTAATGGGCAAAACCAAATGGGGTGGCTGAACAGAGCCAAATTTTCCCCAAACCAGGAGTGAGCCGTTTTTAACTCGATCAAGGATAGTGGAACTAATAAACTCTACGAAATCAAGACACGATTTGCTATTAGGAAAAAACGCCGCAGGGGGAGTAGCAGAGTGGTAAAATTTCCTCTGGAAGTCGCCTTTGAAGGGGACGAAAAAATCGGAAATGTTGACCCCGCAGACGATGTAGGATAAAATCTCATCTCATCTCTTGGGTGTTCTGACAGAATGAACGTTCAGTAAGACTGGTGCCAACTCAGTTCCCCAGCCACAAAACTACTGGGATCTCGGAAAATAACACCTTGAGGAGTGGCAAGAGCGATTCCCTTAGAGACCATGCAGGGCGAGGAGTTCGGGCCTGCAACGCGAGGCTTTCCCCCTTTCCAATTGCACCACTGAACAAAATTTGAAGAGACCTCGTCCGGGCGAAAATCATAACGAGGTTTCTTGCACGGGGTTGCCTAAACTAAAAGGACAACGAAAAAAGCGCCAATGAAACATGATGTAGAAAAGGGGAAAAGCCAACCGTGAAGCAGCCCCGAAATACTCCGTCCAGAGACAGAGCAATTAAGGGTATAAGAAGACCCCTTCGAAGGCATACCAGCGGTTAGCTTAAAAAGAAAAAGACAAGCGAAACAAACACAAAATAATTGACAAAGCAGACTTTAATGTGGCATGGACTTCATTACAGAAGAACACAGAAATAACTAACAAGGCAAACGATAAAAGGCACTGGAACCAATATATAGCAAAGAAACGTCACTTTTTAACAGCCTTAGAGACTAAAGGGCAATTCCTAGCAAAATGACCAACTCTTCTGCAGTTAAAACAGCGTCGAGGAAGGGTCCCCGGTCGGTAGAACTGTGGCCTGAAACGTCCACCGCGACCAAATGAACCCCTGGATAGGGGCCTGGACGCGGGACAACGGAATTGTCTTCCCAAAACTCAAAGGCCTGTCCTGGAGCTGAACTTCTAGGAGATGGGTGGCCTTTAAATATCTTTCGGATCTGGGAAGCCACATCTCTTTCCTCCTTATCCCCAAGGAGCTGAAGTACCACTTCAGCAAGCGAGTTGGAGTTTGCAAGGGGGCGACACTGTTTAAAAATAGCATCAAACTTCTTACGTTGAGGGTGGTTCGCCTCC